TGGAAGAAAAAAAAAAAGTGATATGCTCTATATATATATATAAATTTATGTATGATTTTGAGATAATCACCAATTGTATGAAAGAGATTAACATGCATTGTATTAGTATCTTTCAATTAATATTAATATTGTGCAGCTATGTGCTTTTGTTTACACAGAACTTGATGTATGTCTGAGTTAGATTTTATGTATGTATTGTTACTCATTTTGTTTGTCCTTGTTGTATTACATCATCGTTACCCTTTGTCTAAGACACATTTCTTCAATGGGAGACAAATAAAAAATCAAGACGAGACAAATTTTACAGTTAATTTCCGGTTATATGGAAAAATGTTAACTCCTACCAGAACTGCCAGACACAGACAAAAGAGAAAAGAGAAAACAGTCCAGAAAGCAGCATATTATTTGGTTTTATTTCATTCTTTTTTTTTTTTAAGCATTACCTGCAGTACAGATTGTCAGGGTCATGACCCAGCTTTTCCTTATCAGTAACGCATTATACTTAAGCGTTCAAGTTGCTCCATCTGACTCGCTTTGAGTTCTGCTGCTCCACCGCCAAGATGCCGTCCTCCCACCTGAAGACGCTTGGCAGGCTTCCCAACCATCCTGGCCTTAATTTATACACCATATTCGGAAATCAAATCACCTGAAGCACAAACAACTCATATGAACACACAAAGAGCATGACTCTCTCACATACTTTTTCAGATTAGTACTGCAACTTATGATTATTCTATTATTCTGACAATTAATCAAATATTTGGGTAATTCTTTGGATTAATAACTGGGCAACAAAACCTGCCTGATAGGGACATTTCTTTGTAAGAATTTCAACCAGGTGATGCTAAAACTACCTTGTCACGTCTCCTGTGTTCAGCATATTTACAAAGAAAATTTCTTATCTTGATAGCAAAATGAGTCGATTTTTCTTGGTACAGTTTTGGCTCTGAATATAATCATTCAGCAAATGTCCAATTTCAGAGTTGGTTATGATTAATTGATAACTTACTTATTTTAGCAATCAATTTGTCATGTTTAATTTGATCATCAATGCAGATTAGTGTCTTAACTGATACAATTGATCGGCTGAACTAAATAAAGAATAATCCATTTCTATTTTCTGCCTCTACAAACTTTTGACTCTAAGCTTTAAGTTAAAAATGCATACATGACAAGAAAAGTTTCCTCTGAATCTCTAATATTTGTAACTGACAACAGCTCACCAGCTTTTACTGACATAATCTGTTTCATTCCACATCAGGTTCAGGGTCAGCTATCTGAGCCTGTCACAGCAGACAAGAAAACATCAAAACTAATTTGTGGAGAGGAAATGGGAAACCTGTCTGCCAGTCTTTGGATTGTGTGTGTGCTTCTTCATAATCGGGCTTCATGGTGTAAATAGAATATTCCTGTCAGCCCGACTGGAACAGATGTTAGTTATGGGAAGTATTAAGAAGGTCTCTCCTGGCTCTCCTGGGGCCGGAGCTCACGACGGAGAGGAGAAAAGCAAGTGATGCAGAATCAGGAGGTTTATTAATCTGTGCAGGCCATGGTGTCGCTGTGAGGATACTGCCAAGAATCTGATCAAACAGCCTAGCGTCTGATTGGCTGGAGCAGGTGGTTGTGTTTGAATAAATCCGATCCCAATATTCAGCATGGGTAACCGGAGCCTTTCGGACCAGCTGACTTAGATTCAGTCAGAATGATTTCCTGAGTATTACAGACTTTTAATCAGTTTTTTTATTTTATTTTATTTATTTAATTGACTTAATTCTGAGTTGATTGTCTTATTATTTTTCATACAGGTCTGTTTTATTTACTTTTAGCTCATTTTGATTTTGACTGCTGCTTCATTGATTCTTGTAAGATAGATTTTGTATTTTTTTTTCTATTGCTTGTTTAGTAACCTTAACAGTTGTGGAACATCTGCAACCAAAATATGAAACTTTCAAATTATGAGAAAATATATTCATAATGTATACTATATTGTGACACATTTTGTTGTCATTGACTCATGGTAGGTATGACGATGATTGAATTTAGCACTTTCAGCATTAGCTTTCACTAAATGGCGTGCTGGTGTAATGCTTTAGGATTGCTCTTTGCTAACCACCATATTGGAATAGCATTTTAGTATTAGTTTCCACTAAATACTGTGTTGGTATAAGCATTAGCTTCTACTAAATTTTATTTTGGAGTAGCACTTTAATCAAATCAAATCAAATTTTATTTGTATAGCACATTTCAGCACCAAGGCATTTCAAAGTGATTTACGTCACAAACACAAAGTCATGCAACATAGAATAAACAATACATTGTTACGTATTACGTTTCAAATACAATTCTAAACAGGTGTGTTTTGAGTTGAGAGTTAAAGGAAGTCAGGGTTTCCGCTGTTTTATAGTTTTTTGAAGTTTGTTCCAAATTTTTGGTGCATAGATGCTGAAAGCTGCTTCTCCTTTTGGTTCTGGTTCTGGGGATCCAGAGCAGACCAGAACCAGAAGACCTGAGAGGTCTGGAAGGTTGATACAACAACAGCAGATCTTTAATGTATTGTTAGCATTAGCTTCCAATAAATACCACATTGTAATAGAGTTGTAGTGTTGGCTTCCAGTAAATATCGTGTTAGCATAGTGCTTTAGCTCTGGGGGTGGTATTGTAATGGCTCTTCTGAACATTGTCACATGGTTTCTAGAGGCAGGTCAGTTCACTTGGACTGTTTTATATGAAAAGAAACTAAACAACTAGAAAAAGCAAACTCATCAAGTAACTCAGATAAAATTAAAAGTTGCAGAATACCTGTGTGAATACATTGTATTTACTTCAGATAGTTGTGAATGGAGCTTTTCTTCTTGTTATTTGTTCATATTGCATAATTTCCATTAATGTGTGAATGCAACTTTAGTATGAGTAAGAAATGCTTAGGAGCCAATTGGATCACAGCCCTCAACTCTTTCCAGCGTGTTCATTCGTATCACATAAAAAATAATAAAAATTCCTCCATAGATCGAAGATGTTTTGCTGACTGCAGCATTGGTGTCTCCTGCAGCTTTCAGCACTTTTCCCCCCGTTGCCCTGTCTTCTGCCATTTGTTTCAGTTAAGGGGTAATGCGTGTGGCTGTCAAAAACGATTGGCTTTGGTGGTGTGAGGCTTGCCCTGCAAAGTGCGCTGGACAGTAAATTGTATTTTTCCACACGGTTATTAGGGCATTATTATAGCAGCGCTGGAAGTGAACAATGCCTCATCGTCCTCACAGCCGTACAATTAGAATCATCATTAATCGCTTCTATCAGGACATCAGCGGGCTGGAGGGGTTATAATAGAGTTATAGACCACTTATTGGGTAATCAGTCAGTGCGATTGCTAACTAAACTGTCTGTCATGGTGCCAAAACTGAGTGGATGGTCATTGGCTCAAAGGAGAGAACAGGATTGTGGGTGTGTGAGGGGAATGTTTACGCTTCTGTTCAGATGCATTCTTTATATTGTCACTCTCTAAAGAGGCTGTGTATCCTGCACAGCCTCCTGGTTGCAAAAACAAAAGTTTGATTTTAAAGCCGTGCTACTGAATTTAAATGTGAATGATTTTACTTAATTCACATTGTGCACAATGTGAATGCAAAACCTTTCACATTGTGCACATCGGAGCACAATTTGTCTTCTTTGCCAAATTGTGCTCTGATGAAGCTGAAGATGTAGCTACATGGTTCTGCATGCAAATAAGCAAAATACTAATGCAGCAGTGGCATCATGCAGGGTACAAATTATACAGTGACAATTGAAAAGGAAAGTCGATCTGTTGTCCAAGATGGAAACTCTGTCTTGTTCCATTATAATATCTGTCTACATATGTTAAAGTAATATATCACTGATGTGACACTCACCACAATCTTTGTGTTGCGTATCTTTAGAAAAACATTTTTCTTGTTGAATGAAACACACCCAGTTTGCCTATTATTCTGAAAAAGCGTCTAACAATTTTGTAAGTAGATTTTAACTTAAAAGTTGTAGTTATGTCCTAATTTATTTATTATTGGATGTGGGAGCAAGCAAAATAAATCCACTGACCACAAATGGCTCGTAAGCCCCACTTTTAACACCCTTGTTGAGTAAATGGTCACAATAATTATGTTATGAGGCTCCCAAATACAATAATTATTGATTTTCATCCTGAGTAAATATTTGTTCCTGGATTAAACTATTTGCAGGGAAAGTCCAGCAAGCCGAAAACTGATAGTGTAGGGGAAGGTTTAAAGAACAGCACGTGTCAGAGCTGGCGTACATGAATAATAAATTTTATATAAATTGTATGTTTAAATATAAGCCAGGTTGTATTTTAACTCCTGTACCTGTTTTCACTTGTCTTAAGAGAGGATGGAGACATCTAGAGCAGGGGTGCTCAAGTCCAGTCCTCGAGAGCTACCGTCCTGCAACTTTTAGTTGCAGCCTTACTTCAGTAGACCAGGTCAGCTATGAACAGGCCTGGTAACGAGTCATTCATTTGATTCAGGTGTGTTGGAGCAGGGATGCATCTGATAGTTGCAGGATGGTAGCTCTCGAGGACTGGACTTGAGCACCCCTGATCTAGAGGGTCAGGCTCAAACCTGGATTTAAATATGGTCTGAAATTTCGGTTTGCCAACCCATAAAATTTATTTATGGGACCTTTACATTTCTGTGCTGGTAGTAAAGGTCTTAAATTTGATTCTCAATGGTCTTAAACAGTCTTAATTTTATGTTGGAGAGACATACAGAAAAATACTGACACTTATCAGCACAAGCACTGGAAAAACACAAAATCTTAAGTTAGTTTCTAGTGCAAAAATCTTGGTATACTTCATATTAAATAATAAAAGTTACATGTACGTTAGTGTTGTTTTATTTCAAGCCTACAGGGACATTTGCACTGGAAATTAGGCAATTTAATAAGAATTGGTGTTTTTGCAGTGGAAGCTAGCATAATGTTCCATCCATAATCATCCTCATGCTCTGTCTCCTCAGATGACCCAGGAACAGTGCTCTCATAGGAACAATGTCCAGAGTTCAGAGAAACCACAAGTGTACAAAGTGGGAATATACGGCTGGAGGAAACGCTGCCTTTACTTCTTCGTCCTGCTGCTAATGATCCTGATCCTGATCAACCTGGCACTAACTATTTGGATCCTCAAGGTCATGAACTTCACCATTGTAAGTCCATATTTTGTGTATTTTTGCTGTTGAAGACTCTCTGTGTCCCCTTCTTCATCTCATTTTTGATTTATTGCCTGATGTATAAAAAATGGGCTTGATTTTTTTCTGTGCATCTGCATATATTTTTCATTGACTGCTCTTTTTAAAGCTGCTGCTGCTGCTACACATACAAGTTACACAACATCGCATCCTTTCAGTAACCTACATTTTCTGATGATTCCACATGACATGAAAGCGTGAGCCTTGAGTATTTAAATTGGCCCAGTTATATTTTCTGGGATGATTAATTAGATGTTGAGTGCTGATCTGAGGTCAGCAGCTCTCTTGGACATTCACCAGTCTCAGTATATCAGCTTCTTATTTGCATCACTGTGTTCTGCTTTTTTCAGGCTGCTGGTGATAAAAGAGAAAATACATCTCCTTTCAATTTTAGGGTTCAAAATATTGGGATGAAAACAAGTTTTTTTTTTCTTTTTTTCTTATTTTATTAGGTTCTAAGCATAAATGTAACTTTAAGTTTACACAGAAGACTCCCCGTGTCATTATTGATTAAATACAGATTAACTTGAACAACACTAAGTACACCCTTGCTACTTCCAGTGGATTCAGTAAAATATTGGTGTGCTGTGTTCATTCATGACCACAAAATCTGACAGAAAACACTTCAGAGCACAGTTTCTGCAACCTGTTGGATCAGGGGGGTGTACCACCCAGATAGCTTTTCCATTCTGGCTTCATCATTAATAAATAATAGTGCAGAATCTGTTTGTTTTAGAAATATTATAGCCAAGTAAAGGCAAAATCAATTTCATTATTTCCTAATATATATATATATATATATATATATATATATATATATATATATATATATATATATATATATATATATATATATATATATATATATATATATATATATAAGAAACAATAGATTTACCATCTTATTTCTTGCTTTGTGGTTTTTATGATGATGGTTTTGAATCATACACAGGGTTCTGGCCGGGGGTCTTTTTAAAAAAAAATATTTTTCAATATTTCTTCAGTGGTTCCAGTGAGCAATATGATATGAACGATGTATGTGCATGAGTATTGTTTACAAAAAAGAGTTATCAGGCATTCATTTAAAAACCTAGAAAGGAAAGTAGACATTCTTAGGAACCTCTCTGTTTTGCTTTACTTGATCTTGATGCTGTTTTGGACTTTTTACTTTTGTCTGGAATAAATCTGCCGGAGTTTCATCTCAGACTGTCAAAACCAAACTCCCGCCTTTGTGTTTTCCTCCGACGTTAAATGTATATCGGCACCATGAGCAAATTTATGAAATGAGCCAAATACACCTCTCTGCTTTCACAAAGCTCATTAATCATTCTCGTCCTCAAACATAAAAATGAAAGCAAAGCAGTTTTACTTGCACAGCAAATATGAAAACTCGACGACAAATTAAGAGGAAAAGAGCTAATCTAATAATACAAGGCCAACAAAACTAATTAAATCACGATTCCGTTAATCCAACAGAGACTGGGTTTTATTACAAAAATTGCAGCGTGTGGTGTTTTTGAGCTCATGTGACTTCAGTGTTTCTAAGCTTTAGAAAACATGTAAAACACTTGACATCCATCAGTGCCTGCAGAGCTGCTGTCTCTCTGAAGCTCTGAGTCAGTCTGTCTTCCTCTCTTCCCCGCTGTGTTGCTTTGTTTTTACTATTCCCTACCTTCCTGGTTTGTTTTCGCCCTATCAGCTGCACACATTGTCTTTCTGCTTGTATCAATCCGGTGCGTAGCGATGAGTCGGTACAGCCGAGGCAACACACAAGACTTACAGCACACAGGGGCACGCTCACATGGTTGTTGATGTGAATAATACATGAGCCCCGTTTCACAACGCGGCTTTAATATGAGATCTACATAAATCAGGAACGGCTTTCTCAGATGCTGAGCCGTGCGTTGTGATGAAGAGCCTCAGTCAGTCGGGCTGTTTAATGTTTTTAATGTGTCTGCTTGATGGATTTATAGAATACGGAAAACTTTTGAAATGTGGTAGATGGGTTTAAAAGGAGGGGAAAAAATAATAATGTCAAAGGAAAGGAATATTTCTACTACTTTTTCTACCTGGTGACGTCTCAGTGACATCCTTTAATCCAGGTGCATGTTTACCGTTTGTGAGACTCATAAAAAAAACTGTTTTACAAGTTTACTCTTCAAAAACAGTTGTTCCTAATAAACTTTACACTGATTAAAACTGAATTATTCATGCTTATGGAGTATTTCTTGATCATCTATTAAATTATTTACCTATTTGTCACAGGAATCACTTCAGAAATATTAGTCATAATGGATTAAGTTATAACCTGCTGTGTATATAATGTTATAAGTCTAACATTTAAGAGCCACAAAAGCTACATGGAACAAATGAGTTTATTTGGTTCAGCTTATTAAAATAATTTGGTTTTAAAATGAAGGAAAGGCATTTTATTTTTGCTTATTGCTAGGTAACCAGAAAGTGAGTTAGATATGCAGCCAATCTTTCTTAGCTCTCCATGATCAGCTTTCCTCTGTCAACATTTCCCACAATGCTGTGCGGTATTGTATTAGTTGTATTTTCTATTAATATTGATCATATATGTATTGTTGTTGATTCGTTGCCCTTGCCTATAACTACCAAAGACATTTCTCCATTTCATTTGATTGTTTTATAAAGGTCTTTTGTTTTTTTACATTAATAGCACCTGTTGAGTAGCTAGTAAAGCTAAACTTAGATTCACTTGGTTGCAAAAACATCTTTCATGTTCCAAATGGGAGCACTGACCTTAAAATACAGAGCTCCCTGCCAAAGGAAGTCAAAGCAGTGTCGTCAAAGCTATTTTTAGTAAAGTACACCCAACAGAGCAGTTTCCTACTATAGTTTCAGTTTAAGAGATGTTCAGAAAGTTTTCTCTATGAAGCAGCAAAGGTGAAAGGTCCTTATGAGTAATATAAAGTGTGTAAAAATCCATAATTAATAAGTTTGCAGCATGTATTATCTGTTTTTAAAATACCTGAGTATTCAGGAGATAGGAGGTGGAGAAAATATCTTGGATAGAGGAGGCAGAGACATGCAGAGATTAAATATTCACATACACTGCAATTACAGAGACAGAGAGTATGAATAATGAACGTGGGCAAGCAGTGGACAGCAGGATATGTCCAACAATGTGTAGGTGGATTTAAATCAGGTAAAAATGTGCCTTTAGATGCTTAAGGAGTATCTAAAGGCACTCTAGCCTGAGCCCCTGAAGTTGGAGCAGCAAGTTTTGATCTAGTGGGCAGGAGCTCAACAGTTTGGCAAGCAGCACCACAGGTGTGAACAACACAGCTCAGGAAATGTTGCTGGTTTTGTTGAGTTACTTTTTGGCAATCCCAAATTGTCTGATGACCAGCAGTTATTTTTGCATTTAAAATAGTTGGAACTTTTGTGGTCACAGAAGCTTGGAAAATTGGCTGACAATCCTTAAAATGTGCCGCTTGAACCAGACTTAAGGCTCACAAACTCCACTCCTCTCATCTCTACTCCTGTCCTAACACTCTCTGACTGGTTGCTAAGCTAACATATACATATCCCTTCAAAATAAGATGCAGATGCTCCACAAAAACAAACATTTTACTTTTGTGAAATTTTTAACTCGCGGTAACTACTAATGACCTTGTTTCTCTGCAGCCAGACGAAACAAGCCCCAGATGCCATTGTTTCTCATCTGGGAGTGATGAGAGACAATGACACCCGAAGCATTGCTTATGCACAGGGCGCTTGGTCTCATGCAAAGTTGTTTTAAGGCTTCATTGCCTCATTAACGAGCTGGTCACCATATCATGCAGAGCAGCTTGGAATGTGGGAATCACCTTCTGGGATAAATCCATTCTCCTGTCTCCTTTTCCCCTTCACAAAGAAACTTTCCAAAAACATCTGGTCTGTTTCTTACTCATTTTGCTGCTTGTGACTCAATGTTGGTGCGCAAGACATATCCGAGAGAATCCGGTTATTATATTTTGAACGTCTTGACCATAAGATGTTCAAAATCTGATGTTTAACATCCTGCAAAATGATATAAGACGTTCAACATATTGTATATGTGTGAATGTACAACCTGTGACCTGTTTGACAGTGTAACATTTACTCACGGCTTCAGCTGGGAATCAGCTAGAGGTACTTTGATTTAGGGCACCTTTATATCCTTGAAACTGAATCTGTTTTTATTGTGTGAGATTGTTTTGTGTTGTGTTTGGGAGCTGGTGTGATGTGAGGGGTTTGCTGCAGGTGCAGGTCAAATACAAGTTCAATTCATACATCAGTCCAGTTTATTTTATGTGTGTGCATAGGTGTGCGTGTGTGTAGCTTTGTGTGTGTGCATTAGAGAAACTTGTGTGTGACCTTTGAACTTTTCTGCTGCTTAAATGACCCATAATATATTCCTTTTACCCTAGTGGAGTGCAGCTCAAAGGGAAACATAAACAAAATATAACTTTTTCTAAAGATGGGGTCAATTTAAGAAAAGGTATAAAATTTTAAGTTGGAAAAAGATAGTTAAAGGTATTTTTTCCACAGCTAAACATGACAGTGGGTCACTTTTGACCCGGAAGACAACACAAGGGTTATCTTCATATAATCTGTAATGGTTGTGTTTCTTCCTGCTTGCACGATTGCCCTGATAAACAAATAGACGGCAAGGAAACTAATCACTGCATTTCATGTTAAATAAGGCATGGGCAGGCAGAATGCATGGAAATAAGAATATTAATGTCAGATCAGTTTATGGAGAGCATCTATCTAGTCCAATGCACACACAGTTATCTGTTTTGTTGACATGAAATCTAAAAGGCTTGGACAGACTGAACATCCTGGCAAAACCTTAATACTAAAATTGTACTCAAATATAATAATACATATGTAAAAAGAAATTTAAATTGATTCAAGTTTTAAAATGTATTTTGTTGTGTCCTATGTATCTAGGGCAGAATAGTGAC